TACAAATTTTTTGAGATACGACCAGCTCCGCCCCCAGAAATTTACCTCGACTTGAGACCAACTCGAGTTGCAACCAGAGTCATGGAATGGATTAAGTTCGTAACTAGAGGTACCACTGTATTCCCCTTTTGTGCGAATGATCATTAATCTGTATAATATTCATTGGATGTTTTAGCCTAGGAAAGCAGGGGGTCCAATCGGGTGCTGTTTTCTTTTTTTCCTTTTTTTCCCCTGTTTCCTTCCTTCCTTTTTTTTCCCCCCTTTTTCTTAGTGTATTTCTCCAGGGCTGGTTGAGACTGGATTCGCTTTTAAACTGCACGATAACGACCCGGAAAGAGCTGCAGCCACGTACGAGAGCATTAGGGTACGAGAACAACCAAAGCGATATAGAGGGATGATGTTGGTTAAGAGAAACATAAGACTGTTTGCATGCTGGATTTAGATCGGGCGTGTGCAAATTTTGGGCAGTGCACTTGAAAATTGGATGGATTCAGATGGGGGCAGGAAAAAAAGCTACATTCAATTTAATCTATATTTATACAAAACTCGTTGAGTTTATATTTTCCCCTTCGGAGACTTTAAGTTACCGTTTGATAGTGACTTTTGAAAAGGCTCTGAAGTTTGGGGGTTGCATCTGGTCTTGGAGAATCTCCCTGTGAAGCCGTGATGTGTTTATCCAACCAGAAGGCAGGTTTGTTTCTCAGATAGTTACCTAGAAATTAGGAGTCCTTGTACCTTCACTGATAAGAATGAAAGACACGGTTGAAAACAAGAGAATAAGCAAGAGATACGAATGACTGCAGAGAAGGCTTTTTAAGGTTGAAGATTAGGGGCTTTTTAGACTAGACATAACCCTTTTTGTAACCTCTAAACATGCTTGCTGGGGAATTCTGGGAATTGAAGTCCACACATCTTAAAGTGGCCAAGTTTGAGTTAGACATTGGTCTAAAGAGAACTTCTCTCTTTCTTTGTACTCCAGTCTCATCTCCAGGCAATTTTGTTCCCCCCTTAGTTTCCCCATCCCTTTGATGATGATGTGATCCATTCAATTGTGTCTGATTCTCGGCGATTCTATGGACCATCTCTCTCCACATTTCCCGATCTTGTACGGCTTCTTTTAGTTGTTTTATGCTCTGGTTGGTGTCAGTTTGATGCTGTCTAGCCATGGTGTCTTTTGGCAGCCTCGTTTCCTTTTACTGCTGACCGTTCCAAGCACAACTGCCTTTTCTAGTGGTTTGATCGCAGGACATGGCCGAAATAAGTAAGGTGGAATTTTGTGATTTTGCCTTCCAGCGATATGTCTGGTTTTAGACGCTCCAACACCATAGCTCGAACTGCAGAGGCCATCTAGCCCAACTCCTGCTCAGTGCAGGATTTGCTACGGCATCTGTGTGAGATGATCACCCAGCCTCTGTCTGAAGACCTCCAGTGAAGGAGAACACACCATTTCATGAGGCTTCCTGGCTGACAGCTTGTAGAGTCAGGGACTTCCTCCTAAGGTCTAGCCTGAACCTCCTTCGTTAGTTTAACCCATTGGAGTTGTTCCTGCCCTCTGGGATAACAGCGAATAAGCCACTCCCTCTTTTGCATGGAAATGCTTCATATATTTGAAGACTGCTACTATTTCTCCCTTAGTCATCTTTCCTATAGCTGATCATACCCAAATCCTTTAATCCTTTCTCACGGGGCTTGATTTCCAGACTTTTCACCATCTGGGCACTCCTCCTCTGTACTCCCTCAAATTTGCCACTGGCCCTTTTGAATGATGGTGCCCCAAACTCCTCCAGGTGGAGCCTTTCGGTCTCCTCCTCCTCCTCCTCCTTTTCCTCCTTCCTTCCTTCCTTCCTTCCTTCCTTCCTTCCTTCCTTCCTTCCTTC